CCCTGTTCTAGAGGCTCAGAGTTTCAGGAAAGGTCAAGTCACAATGGGGACAGTGGATAGAATTCGGATATTTCACATCCGATGTGCGTCCCATGGAGCAGCCTCGGGTAGCACCCCACACAGCCGGCTCCCCGCCTCCCACAGCTCTGGCAGGTCTGCTCTCTGAGGCTCTTACATTCCACATCCAATAAATGCTGCAGGCGGAGTTCGCGTCCGGTCCCGCGGGCAGCAGTCCTGCCGGCTTTGCTGGTGCCGGTGCCCTGGGCGTGGAGCGAGCAGGGACCATGACCACATCTGGGGGAGTTCTCGGAAGCCTGGGTTTAATATGGATTTCTCTAGAGAGCACAGCTGCGTGTTTCCGCGAGGCACCTCGAGTAAGAAGTAGTCAAGACCACTGGGGGTTTTGTTGCTGTTTTCAGATGACACGGGGGTGCATGGGGGCCGCAGGCCTGTGTCCAGAGGGGCTGTGCGCACGGATGCTCGGGGGGGTCATTCTTGCTCTCCTGCTCCTCTCTGGTTAGTGCCAATGCTCCATCAGGAGCCCTGGTCTGCAAGGGGGGTTATTTCCATCCACCTCGCACTGAGGGTGCCACCCTGCGGGACCCCCACTGGACAGGTGACTTCCGTCCTCTGAGGCCCTCCCTGCTGTAAATGGAAGCTGGACACCATTCTTGACTTATAACTGGTTTGTTGTAACTTGTAACTGGTTTGTTGACCAAACGAGGCTCGAAACACACCTTTCAGTACTTATCAGAGTGAATGACGGGGAACCACATCAATTTGCATAGTTTTTTCTTCCCACTCCTGAATAACAGACAATCATGTTTGTTTTCAGTTTTAAATACTTGATTAAGAAATTAGTATTTCCAGTCCTATGGACTGGCCAGACGCACAGTCTCTTTGCCTGGCTTGAGGCTGTGTCAGGCTGGGAGGCTGCTGGGTTCCTGCCACGGTCAGAGTGGGAGGGGAGGAGATACAGGGAGAGAACAGACTCACTGGAACTGGTCTGCACACAGGTGGCCTCACTCTGATCCTTTTTCTCATGGAGAGCTGTCTTGTCTTCTTCTGGGGTTACTGCAGCTGGAGACCCCCCTACCCGGTCTGCACGCACTTACAGGATCTAGAATTCTTCCCTCAGCCCTGGGCCTGGTGCTGCACACTTCTGCTCCAGACAGCATCTCAGAGACCCCCAGACTTGCCCCCTTTATCACATGGCCACACCCGGTCTTTAAGAAACCTTCTTGCACCCTTCCTCCTGCAAGTCCTGTGAACATAGGTCCATTCAGTGAACAGCGCTTCCTGAGCCTCCCCGGAGCAGTGACCATCTCTGCTCTCTAGAACTCAGACCTGAACTGCATTCGCAGCAAATCACAACTCTCACGGTGGGGCTTGAAGCCAAGCAGGTGGCACCCCCCTACCCGGTCCTTCAAGTGGAAGGAAAGGAAAGACAGTACAGATTTTGCCAAAGTTACCTTCCTTCTAAAAGCCACCCTCTCCTTCCTGTCCAGGGCGTATTCTGTTCTCAAAGAAGGGGGAATTCCAGGGTGGACCAGACCTCAGTTATTGTTTCTGAAATTCTGAAATTATATGCCTCAGGTGTCCTGGGGACTCAATAGACCTTTAATTTTCATTAATCAATCATGAAACCCCCTTTGCTCTAAATTCTCAGTAACCCTGTTCTTCTACAAGCTGGGACCCCACCTCCTCTGCCCAGGACAAATGGCTCCTTATCCCCAGGGGTCACCCCAAATACCACCTCCTCCCCTTAGGACCAACTTCTCACTTATCTCCGAACACATAGCATTTCCTTACACATTTCTTTCGCATTGCATAAAAACTGCATCGTGTTTGTCTATCCGCTTACCTTACCTTCTCTTCATGCAGCTGTGAACTTCTGCTGGTCAGGAGCCGTGCCACAGTCTTCTTTGTATCCCTAGGGCTGAGCACGGCACCAGGCACCAGGAGGTGTCCGTGACCACTCGTGGGACCAAGGTGAATGCACGTGGCCAGTCCTCGCTTATAGGCAGCAGCAGAGAACGTGGCATCCCGCTTCCCATGTTCAAGGCAGGGAAAGACTCAAGGTCACCAGGGGGCTGCTGAGCTTGGTCTTCTCTCCAAGCCTCCCTCCCTCCCTCTCCACCATCAGGGCACAAGCTCACCCCCCCCCCGTATTTGGGAGGGATCATCCAGGCCCAGGTGAAAGTGGGCCCTGATATCTACTGCAGGTTTGGTGGTCTGGAGGTATTCATTGTATTAGCACAGGAACTGGTGGTAAATGATTTTTAGAGATTTTGATAGACTTAGTTTACCAGGTTAAAGATAAAGGCAAACAGAAATGTTCTAGCAATGAAATTATTTCTACAGTTGAAAATATGAAAGCTTTTTTTTTCTTTTGAAACTCCAAGTTCAATAGAGCAGTTTGGTTGCACTCAAATGTGGGGGATCATGAATGCCCCATAAGACATTTCCTTTCCAATTCTGTTACACCAGGTCAGCATGCTCTTGGGGTAAAACACAAGCCCTGATGTAGGCCTGCCGGAGGCTTTTGTCCTGAGCTGGTACAGTTGGCATACAGTCTCTGCCCCCATCTCCCCCAGTGAAGCTTGTTAGAACTGGCCCCTTCCTCATCCCAGGGGCTGGTGACCAGCCCAGTGTCTGTGGACCATCAGCTGCTCTCTGCCAGAGCGGCAACATGGCCTAGTCCTGGCCTGTCTTTGCACTTGTTTAGAGACAAGATGCCTCAAGGGAGGGCCAGCGAGAAGGGGAAGCCTCTGGGGGTAAGAAGCTATCTCCTGGAGTAGGGATAATCGCCCTCCAGCAGAACCCTTGAGGGAAGCAGGAACCGTTTTTTTGTGTTTTTTTTTTAAAGATTTTATTTATTTATTTGAGAGAGAGAATGGGAGAGAGAGAGAGCATGAGAGGGGGGAGGGTCAGAGGGAGAAGCAGATTCCCTGCTGAGCAGGGAGCCCAATGCGGACTGGATCCAGGGTCTCCAGGATCATGACCTGAGCCGAAGGCAGCCGCTTAACCAACTGAGCCACCCGGGCGCCCCGCAGGAACCAGTTTTGACATGCATATTTTCATCTTAGAGATGCACAATGGGGACACAGAACAGGCCAGTGTGCTCAGGCTCTCCAAGCAAGGACGTGGCAGCACCCAGCGTCCACTCTAAACTCTGCGCTCACCACTACCCGGCCTGTGCATCCATTAAACCCCAGAGAGCTTTTGTGACCTCACCTCCTGACCCAGATGCAGTGTGAAATGGCCAGTTCTCATTTGGGGCATCCGCCCTCCCTACTCACTTTAGCAAAGATAGCCCTTTACAGGGATTAATGCAACCTTTGGCTTAGCTGAGCAGATGACAGGACACTTGGGATTTTTCACAACGTACCTGGCAAAAGAGCGAATCTTGTCACACAGTACCATATGCATGAATGTTTCTGTGCTGACATTGTTTGACCTTATTTTAAACATTGACTCAACACGTGCACATTGCACAAGAGTAAAACGGAAGAAGCTGCTCGGAGCTCGGAGCTCAAAGATCTGGAACTGTCTATAGCCCTCTAGTGAGCCTTTCTAGGGGGAAAAACAAATGTGTTCCCTTTCAGGCAAATCCCCTCCAGCCCTACAACCGGCAGCCGGCCTCAGAGAGCCCTGCCTCAGGACACGGTGCTGGGCCTAGTAAGTCATCCGTTTGGACAATTTTCTATATATGGAGTGGGAGGTCATGGAGAACGGATGTGTCTTTGTTCTCCAAGCACTGCCAACGGCGGTTTCCCCAGACCGCGTGGGGGTCCGTTCACCCCGGGGAGTGACAGACGGACCCGCAGGTTCGGGCGCCCGGGCTGCGGGGCCGCGGCGGGGAGAGGAGCGGTGCAGAGCGCCCTGCGCAGGCTCACGGAGCCCCTCGGATTTTGTTTCATTTTCCAGAAATGTTTGCTAATTAACAAAAGTTTTGTTCGGCCCAGAAGAGCACTATGCCAACGTGCGTACGTGGCTGTTTTAAGGAAGGACACCATGACGACGCCCCCCAGCCAGAAAACAGCCCAGCAGGGCAGCGGGGCAGAACAGAGGGCAGGCGCCCGAGCCGCGGGGGCGCCCGCACCCTCTGCGGGGCGCAGCGCAGCCGTGGTCCGCGGGGCGCGTCAGGCGTGCGTCGCCCAGGGCGCCGAGCGGGGGTGCGGGCGGGGGGCGGGGCCGCGCGCGGGGAGTGCTCGGAGGGCGGGGGGAGGGGGACGGGGAGGAGCGCCTGGGGCGGTGGGCCGGTGGCGCTGATTGGTGGTAGTGGCGGGGAGGGGTCAGGGGCGGGGCGGGGCTGCTCGGCGCTGGTCCTCTCAGGGCGGGAGGCGGAGGGAGCGCCTGGGTTGGGGTTGCTGATTGGCGGCAGTCGCGGAGGGCGGGGCGGGGCGGGGCTGCTCGGCGCTGGTCCTCTCAGGGCGGGAGGCGGAGGGAGCGCCTGGGTTGGGGTTGCTGATTGGCGGCAGTCGCGGAGGGCGGGGCGGGGCGGGGCTGCTCGGCGCTGGTCCTCTCAGGGCGGGAGGCGGAGGGAGCGCCTGGGTTGGGGTTGCTGATTGGCGGCAGTCGCGGAGGGCGGGGCGGGGCGGGGCTGGTCCTCGCGGGGCGGTGGCCGCCCCGGCAGCTGCGGGAGGAGGACGAGGAGGGAGAGGAGGGAGCATCTGATTGGCGGTAGTGACTGTGGGCGGGGTGGGGTGGGGCTGCCGGGGCTGGTCCTCGCGGGGCGGCGGCCGCGGCGGCCGCACCAGCCTCAGCAGCAGGAGGGGGCAGGGGAGGAGGAGGAGGGGGAGGAGGAGGAGGGAGCGTCGGGCGGCGGGCACTGATTGGCGGTAGTGGCTGAGGGCGGGGCGGGGCGGGGCTGTCCGGGGCTGGTCCTCGCAGCCTGCGGGAGGAGGAGGAGGGGGAGGAGGAGGAGGAGGGAGGGAGGAGGGTGCGCTGGAGCCCCGGCCGCGGTGGCCGGCTCAGCCTGCCCTTTGTGCCCGCAGCCCGCGCCCCGCGCCGATGGCCGCCGCGGCGGGCTCCCCGGCGGCGCGCACCCGCCCTCGGACCTGACCCCGCGCGCCTGGGATGCGCCGGGAATGCGCGTCCTCCGGGCCTGCGGCTCCTCCCGGCTGGGCGCGGGGCGATGGACCTGAGCATGAAGAAGTTCACCGTGCGCAGGTTCTTCTCCGTGTACCTGCGCAAGAAGTCGCGCTCCAAGAGCTCCAGTCTAAGTCGACTCGAGGTAAATGCTATCGCCTCTGTGTGCGCAGGTACCCAGGTCCCCGCCGCGCCCTGGAGGATGCTGCGGGTCGCGGAGCCATCCCGAGCCCTTTCTATTGTCACATGCACGGTACCCACAGACCCATGTCAGGGAGTTAAAGTTATTTGAGAGCCGGTCCGGGTTTTCTAAAACCGAACGCTATTGTTGGGACCTAGCAATAACTGGACCGGTCCTCGTGTTCTCCTCGGGCACTAAACTCTGCCCCTGGGGAATTTCTAACTAATTTTGTTCCTGGGTCTGCGCAGGATGCGGAGCGGTCGCCGTGCCCACATAGGTGCCCGGGGCAGGGAGGGCGTTTCGGTCCGTGCAGCTGGACCGCGGCTCCGTGTGGCACTTCCAAAGTCCCAAAAACAGAACCCCCGCGGCGCTCCCCTCGGCTGAGGGTCTGGGTTTGGGGAGGTGGGTTTATCTTTCCGTGGCCCGCAGCCACGCAAGTGCTACCGTATCGTGCAGATGTATGTGTATTTGAAATCAGTGTAGCATTGACTATATATAATACATACGTATATGTTAAAAGGTGACAATACAGTCTACTCGGGCCAGTCTGAAACGGTGCTCAGTAGCGAAGTGCCTGGCGCAATATCCCTGCAGCCCCGGGTTTGATAGAGATTCGCCCTGAAACCCAGAGGACCCTGAAAATTATGTCCTTTTCTCCTGTCCCTCATCTTGTCATCTTTGGGTTTCCAAAATCATCTGTGGACAGTTCTCTGATGTGGTTTTTTATTTCAGCAATCAAATCTTGTTCTCTTCATCCCGGTGTCCAAATTACATTGTTGAATCTATAGATGACCAAACGGTGGAACGTGTTTAAGTAAAAAAAGAGAGAGAGAGAGAGAGAGAGAGAGAGAGATTGTGATGTTGGGGGCAGGGGCTGGCTACACAGCCTAGTGTTTCCCTTTGACATTGCCCTGGCCTTTGCCACAAGGCTGGCACCTATCTCGGCTTTGACTTATTTCTAAGGAAGTCAAGCCAATTGGAACAATGTCACATTTTTCATCTTGGTTTTCTTTGTCCTGGCTGCCATGATATTTGATATAGGCATGGGTTGTTACAATTACCAGATCTTTAAGCAAAGCTCAGGAATAGACATGAATGCAACAGGAAATTACTCGTATAAAGTTTCTGTTATGGTATCACTAAGTCTGATTTGGACTAGATAGGATCTTTGTGGCTGGTTTCTGAGGGTAGAACATATTTTTCAAACAAATACAACTGTTAATCAAATAATGGAGGAGGGCTTGCCTCAAATCTTGCATTGACAGAAGTTAAACACGAGTTAGTGAGATAAATCATTTTCCCGGATTTCAGGCACTTTTTAAAAAGCTAAAATTGATAAGAACAGAAAGCCAGGACAGTATTTACCTTTATGCCCAATAAGTTTTTATTCATCAGAATGCCAAGTTTATTATACAGCTCCTTGTCTCCTTTTCACTTATTGTCCTTGCCAAAGGGAGGCACACGGGTGGGGAAACTCCCAGTGCTGTTCAGGAAGACCAGCAATAGATACCGGGCTGAACTCATGGAGGGTCAGGAATCCCATCAGCATGATATACTCACCTCCAGTGTTACGGTTCAGCTTGTAGAACCGGGTTTGGGAAGTGCCTCATAAAAATAGCATAATGGGAAACCAAGAGGGGGATAGAAATGAGGTTTCATCAATGTGAAAATGAAATTTCTAAAAACCATAAATACACCATTAGATAGGCAGAAGGTCAGCTGACTAGAGAGGAATGTGATCTATTAGCACGCACTCAATGAGCACCTCATATAACCTGGATGCTGGGTGCCGGATAGAAGTATTGAGAAAGATAGCTCGGATACAATGCTCTGTTCTCTACAAATGCATTCACCTGTCTCTTGTGAAAACTCAAGTAGGCATGTTTTACTATCCTCATTCTATTGATAGGGGGACTCCCCGCCCAAAAATTGAGGATTTTGCTGAAAACTTACCAACTAATTCATTCTGCAACTGCTTTTTAAAAGCCTGCTGTGTGCTCGGCATTGTAGATCCAAAGCCACAAGTCCTAGAAGTCCTGGCCTCATGGTGCCTCCACCTAGTGGGGGATCTAATAAGTGGCTGACCCTGTGCTTCCGTCCAGCAAGTTCCATATTCCTGCCCAGCTGTCTCTCCATCTTTTTCCAGAGAAGTCTGTTTATCCACTTGCATATCCACAGCAGATTGTAGGCCAAGAAGCACTCATCAAAAAAATGTAAAATTTTGGGGGGGGGTCTGTCAATAGTTTGGGGTTGGGTAGTAGGACATACAGAGCACTTAGCATGGATGTATATTTCCTGTTTGGACTGATGAAATTATAAAAATAAACATTTTTTTCATTGTTTCTGTGAAATTTATTTTGTAAAATATACACAGAGACTGAAAATTTTTGTTTTTTGAATTCAGAATCTAGTGCCATAAACAGGAAAGTGACAGTAGTTACTTTAAGTTGAAAACACTATTATCTTTATTAAAACATTAAAATTAATGTTTTCATACTTGCTTTTAAATTTAACTTTAATCTAGAATCCAGCATTGGGTAAACTCTAACCAACAGAGAAGCCAGATTACTTAATCAGATTTGGAAAACGGTTTATGGATTATAGCTTAAATATTTTTATAGTGTCTCGGCATTGCCCCAACTGAGAGGGCCAGATCACTGACTCTGGCAAGAGTGATTTTTGGAGTTTCTAAAGGGAAATTGGGTATCTTTCCTAGACTTCTTTGTGCATGCCCTAGAAAGATATCAGGTTTCACTGTCTGACCTTCACCCGGATTTCAGGGCGCTGACCTCACTGCCTGAGAGCCTCAGCACCTACCTGGAAGGTGTAACCAGCTCCGGATTCAGCAGCCCATTTTATAGATGAGGAAACGGAGCCCAGGGAAGCCAAAGGACTTGCGCCTAGGCTGTTTTAAAGGAAGTTCTTGCTGTAAGAGCATGGGCCATCTATTATTAATTTTAGCCCTTCTGGGTTGTGGGGTTACGGGAGTTTACCGTGTATTAGATGGGACTTGAAGGAAGGCTCTTGTAATTATTAAAAGGAAATTACTCTGAGGAGTATTTTGGAAGGTGCTCCACAACCTGAAATTATTCTAGAGAACCTTTTTTGGCAGTTGGAAAGTTCCAGGTGCATCTGGGCTTTGTATCACATCCACCGGAATTGGATTCTCATGTGCATCTTTCACAGCAGGTGGTTGCTCCTTGACCTCTGTGAGCCCCATTTCCCTCTGCTGGGAGAAGGGCTAGTACTTTCTGCCCCGTAGGGTTAAAGTGACGGGTGTGAGCTATCGTACGTAAAGACTTAACATGGAGTCTGGATGGTGGCACTGTTAGTCAGTTGTTAGCTATGGATCCTGATGAATGTTTTCTGGGCTTAGTGATCGTTTTCATAGTGTTGGGTGTCTCCTGGCATGGTGTGAACCTGGGATTGCCCCTGTGGCCTGTAGAACCCATGGCTTGTGCTGTCTCAAGAAACACTCAGCCTGATAATTAATAGTTTAGACGACCTTCCTCTGTACTTAGGGGAAGAAAAGCCCAGAGATCACTTCTCCCAGGCTTCCTTCCATACACAATACCGTCATTCACTAGGATCGGCCCCATTTGCTGAGATGGAGTTCCCATCGTCTGGCTGGATGGCGGTGTTCCTCTTCCTTTTCTTACGTATCACCCTGTGAGTCCGCTGCACCAATCCATGAATGCATTACCAATTCAGGTCCCAAACCCATGGCGTCGTGAGCTAAGGCGGCTTCTAGAGTCAGGAAATGCCCCAGCGTCAGCAGCCCAAGTTCAGGAGCTTCGGGAAGGCATCCTCCTGGCTCAGCCTTCACTTCCCCAGGAGAGACTCCAGGGGTCTGACGTTCAAGCTCCAAAGCCTGGCCTGGGGCTGTGGGAGGTTGAGAAGGGTTGGCTAGGAAGTGCCTGGCGGGGCGGTGGGGGGGAGATACAGTTTTTAAATTAATAAAAAGTGACATTATTTACTCAGTATGATTTATCTACCAGTTTGTTGAAGGGATCAATGCTCAAAGACAGTTCATTTCAGGAAAGGTTATTTTGTTTGGAGTCACCAAAACCAGGGAGTTGGTTCTCTTTATTAGCTATCATTTTTGACATTTTTACTGAAAGACAATTGAGGGTGGGTGAGAAGGACAAAATGCAAGTCCTTTAGCTGGGATATGGATAAGTGGTAAGCTGTTGAGTGGAAGAATTTCATTTATTTACAGACTTGCTCAGTTGTTTACACCAAGAATTTTTAGCATACACCATGTACATCGTGCTGAGCAATTGGTACATAGGATGTGATCTTTGTATGATCTCTGCCCTCAATGAGCTTAACATCTAGTGAGAGAGGCAGGCCCAGGAATGGAACCTACTGTGTGAAATTTCTGGCATCTGTAACTTAAACAGTCTAATTATACCGATTGTCAAATTAATTTCCATTTCCCATGGTTGCAGGTGCAGGTTACCAAGTGTTGTCTATGTGCACATTTGAATATATTTTAACTGCTTACCCCTTTTAAAGGGAAGCATGATGTCTTAACAAAGTAAATGCTAAGGGACTCATAGCAAATCCTGGGAGTGATGTTGGCTCTGGTCATGGAGAAAAAGAAAGCTTCCTGGAAAGTTAAACATTAAGGCTTATTCTTGGTGCTTGAAAGGTAAGCTCTTCTTCTAGATCTTGGGTGGTTTCCCGGAAAACCATTTCTAATTAAAATAATTTTCAGGTACTTTCAGTAAAAGCACCCAAAAATTCTATGGGAGGCCTGATTTTTATTGGGCCTTCAGACAACAAGAACAGCAACAAAAAATCAGAGAAGACCACAAGAAAGAGTCCATATTAATAAGTATTTAATTTGCTTACTGTTTTGCTTATGTATGTTTATTCTATTTTAAACACACTAAAATTAATTTCTTTGTGGTCGCTTTTTGGGATATGCTTTATCTCAACAATTTCATGACATACTTGCT